AGAATACATATTCTATTCATAGGAATCTATTCTAAAAATCTTGTCGGCTTTAATAACATATTGAGTTTGATATGCCATTAAAGAAAATAAGCCAAACCCAACCAAACCAACCCAAGAAAATACTCAATTGTTGTGGCCAAATGTGCTAAAAAAGAATTCATCACTCGTGCTTGGTCTTTGATTTCGTCATGTATAAGAAAACCCGCAAAATATTTTCTATATTTAAAACAAAGCATTTTATTTGCGGAAGTACCTGGATAGCAACCTGACGAAGAATTTCTTAATAGAAACACACACATACACACACACATATATATATAAATATATATATACACACACAGAAAGGAAAGTATACAGGCACTCAAAAATATCAAGGTATAACTTACCAAACATTTACCTGGAAATGCTACCACTGATTCGTTGACTGAAATCTATGTATACCTCCATTCCCCCAAACATATTCAGGTATGTTGGCGGTATTATTAGCCGACATTGAAAGACTACAGTACTGACGTAAATATTGGCGTCTTGCTTTTCTTTTAATAAATTACACTCAGGAACGCACACTCACGCACACGCACACGAAATAACACATATACACATCTATCTATCTATCTATCTATCTATCTATCTATCTATCTCCTTCTCTTTCTCTTTCTCTCTCCCTCTCTCTCTCTCTCTCTCTCTATATATATATATATATATATATATATATATATATATATATAAGTGAACATAGAAGTCAACAACCAGCGGCCACAGATCTGACGATTGCATTTAAGGATGAAACAGACAGTTGCCACTGGATGTCTACTTAAATGTCCACTTTTATATTTACATACGCTCTATCTTTGATATTGAGTCCGTTAACTCATAAATATACCATACCTTAAACTATAATTTATCATATATATATATATATATATATATATATATATATATATTATGGATCGATAAGTGTATATCCTGGTATATTTAATAGACCCAAAATCTCATTGTTCGATTTTTGTTAACTATGGAGAAGCATTGGGTTAAGTGCATTGACAAAATCGTTCTTCATCATCAGGCTAGGTATTTATTGACGCAACTACACATGCATACACAAACACACGCACATTATTATTATTATTAGTATTAGTAGTAGTAGTAGTAGTAGTAGTCTGAACGTTATTTTAGTGGATACACATGTTTGAGTAGACGTCCCGTTTTTTATAATCATTGTGTGATAACTTCAACCATCATACGCACTCGAGATATAAAGAAAACGTGTTATCCGACAGGGTTCGAACCTGTGGGACACATTGTAGTTGAAACAACAGAATATTTTAGACTGCTTGTCAACAGCACACGGATCTTTAAGTTTTTTGAATGCGCAATCCGGTAGAGTATTTCATATTGTTTGGAAAAAAAAATTGTATGTTTTCTCAAACATGCGTATTAATGATTAAAATCCATTAAAAACTTAGAAATTATATATATATATATATATATATATATATATATAGTTGAACCTCGGAAGGGTAGGAGTGTAGTTATGGGTATAAAAATGTAAAAAACGTAATCCGAAACTAAAATAATTAAAATATTTATTTTTATAAAATTTCAAGAACATCTTTTAAATTATGTTCCTTAGTGTCATCCATAACTTAGCTTGACTTTTCAGCTAACCTGATGAATATTTATGATCGTTTCTTAAATCTAAAATTTGATACACACACACACACACACACACACACACACACACACACACACACACATATATATATATTAATTTATACGGATTTAATGGATTTTAATCTTTAATCCAACATTATTTCTTATTAAGCGAAATGTATTTTACTGCATACGCATGTTTAAGAAATCACACATTTTTTTTCAAACAATGGGAAATACTCTAAAAGATTGCACATTCAAAAAATTTAAAGATCCGGTGTGCTCTGTTGATATATATATATATATATATATATATATATATATATATATATATATATATATATATATATAATGAATTAACGGCTGTTTCATTTTCTTATTGCCTTTAATGTTATCGTTTTCACAAACACGTGTGTCCAATAAATTGTAATATTCAAAGTAATAAGAAATAGTTATCTATTTGTGTAAAACTGAAAGCTGTGTAAACTGTGTGAGGAAGTTGCTATTTCAAAACGTTCAGTGCAAAACACTTTCCCCAGTATGTGTGTACACGCTTCTCTTGCAACCAACCGCTGAGCAACATGGTCTGTTGCATCTTATTTGCCTTTTATTTCGCTTGTTTCTATTATTGAATGTAGGAATGAGGTTACATGAAGTAAGGAATCACATACAAATACGCACACATAAATACATTTTCTCTATTTGTTCACAGAAAATCTTCTTGCATAAAAGTAACTGTGAACCGAAAATTAAAATATCGATATTTCATTTTTAAGAATGTTCGGTAGGTTTTTGATTAGGAGATACATTAGTAGGACAACATATATGTATATCTCTCTATGTATTTCCATTAATATTAAGTTGTTACACATCAAATGACGCTCTTTATAGGAAACTAGCAGTAGAGCCCGGCGTTGCCCAGGGATGTAACAGTAAGAGATAGATCAAGTATCGACCATCATAAAGACTGAAAAATAAAATTGACACAGATTATTGTTTAAGGTTGACGGACACGCATGTCTTAATTAGTATTTTTTTTGTTTTTTTTACGAATTGGTCAAACCCAAAACTCAAACAAAAACATTGTTTTCAATCGTTATGAGTCTATCGATTGAATAGAATTTTATTATAAAGAATTGTCTTGTAAATGGAATTTTTAAAGCATTCTGAATGTAAAAATAAAGAAAAAAATGTGCAAGACAATAAGAAACACTACCTGCCAAAAACAAGTGAAGTTTTGTTGAAATCGGTTGAAAAATGTAGGAAATCCGATCCCATATATAAACGAACACACACACACACACACACACACACACACACACACACACACACACACACACAACCTGAGTTTTTATAATAAGTATAACTCGATATGAGTTGTCCCCCTTTCATTCTGGCGACAGAATCGTGTTTTATCGTGTTTTCAAATTGATTTCGTGCAAAAACAATTGTGTTTTTCCAATTTTTTTGGCGCTGTCAGAACCACCGCAAGGTAATTTTACGCAGTCCTATGAAGTTTTGTTGAAATCGGTTGAAAAATCTAGGAAATCCGATCCAATATATAAACGTACAGACACACACACACACAATCTGCGTTTTATAATAAGTAAGATGAATAAAATGCATCTGAAATGTTAAATAATTAATTCATTTAATTGAAATAGGTACCATGTTGATGAATGATTGTTCTTTAACGTACTTCAGAATTATTGATCCCATTTTCAAAAAGATTTTCTCATCCTTTGATGTGATAAACAATTCAAATGCTTCGATTAACTCTTCCTTATTAGAGAATGTTTTTATTGCGTATGAAAAGCTCAAAATGCTTAAATAAGTGATAATCAGTTGGAGGGATGTCAGGTGATTAGGGAGAATGAGGTAAAATTTCATAATTCAGGCTTTTGAACAGTTGATTGAGAAGCGTTCAGCCGTGCAGCAAAATTGGGCCATCCCAATTGTAGGATGTTTCTTTTTCGATTTTTCGTGCATATACTCAATTTCTCCACAATACGATGTTGCTGTTATTGTTTTCCTTTTAGGCAATAATGAATAACCCCATTGAAAAACACCATACAGTAACCATTAACATTTTAGGGTGCAGTGCAGATTTTGTGTATTATTTTAGTGATTCACTTGCATCTAACCACTGGCCTACTCTCTTACTGTTGTCAAAGAGTATCCATTTCTCATCGCATGTGATGATTCGACGCGAAAATTGTTTCTTTTTCCCAGTTTGTACTTATACATTAAGATTACTTGACATTGTTTCATTGTAATCATTTTCATTGGACTTATGAGTAACAATCTATTGAAAGAAAAATTATCTGGAAAGTAAAAGAGTCATGAATAAGTCAAGATTTTTTTATATACTAAAAAGCTTACTTCATTAGACGACCGGATCAACAATCAAGCAAAGAATGCGTCATTTCATATGTGACAACCAAATATTTTCCCAAAACGAAAAACCTTAAAACATTATTTTAATAATATCGAACCCATTATGGAATTCAAACATGAACAAAACCTTCGTTTTCTCGACATTCTGTTAATATTTTTTCTATAATACTACGCGAATAATTTATTAATTTCAAGACTAATCTGGTAGACCAACTCAAGAGTTTCGCGTCGAAATGTTTATCAGGGCCAGATGTTCGATATATAGATATATAAACGAAAGGCCCCACAAATTTGATCATATGACCAAACAATTCTCAGAATTTGACCATATCATCAAACTATTAACAATCAATTCTCCAAATGTGACAATATGACCAAACAATACCTTAAATTTGATAATATGATTAGATAATATCTCAAATTTGACCATATAACTAAACAATTCTCTAAGTCTTGTAATATGACCAAACAATCCACAAGATTTGATTATGTGTCCAAACAATTACCATATGACTAAACAATTCCCAAAATTTTACTATATGACGAAACGATTGTCCAAATTTAACCACATGGCCAAAGAATTCCCCAAATCTGAGCTTATGACCAAACATTTCTATCGAAGTGCTCTTTTTCCTCGTATAAATATTTCCATGATAAGATTCAAACTTCACAATGTTACTATAGTTTACTTTCTTTTTATTTCACTCCGTATGAAGCATAAACTATTTTCGTCGAGGAAATCAATTTGATCTTCCGATCTTTGCTTTTCATACAGGGTGAACATTCAACAATTTTAACCTCATGCAAAACTAAGTCATGCTTAGCAAATAATACTTATACAAATGCAAAGCAATACAAAAAACATAAGAATACGCTTATCCACCGACAGGAAGAACTGATATACATACACTTTTCACCACACCCTAGTGTTTGTCTCCTCGGATTTTCAAATGCATTTGAAAAGTCAGAGATGGAAAGAAGTTGGTGCCAAAGCAATAAACATTAGCGATGTTTATCTTTGCCAAGAGTAAGGCTGCGTTAGTCCTGGGAAACATGTCCATATTTGGGTGTGGTCTGTTAATGTAGTCGATCATGGATGCCTCACCTGGTAGGAGGTGATTCACTGGACAGATCAGTAACGATCTGGAATTTAACAGCAGTGGTCAGTGTTGGAAATGAAACAAAAAAATGTCGAATTCTTTGGCTGACTGGCTTGCTCATGCGTTCTTCAATGAAAGTATCTATTTCAGTTTATAGATACCTATCTCGATCGTTGCATATTGGCATTTCCGAAGCTTATCTAAATATGGCACAAAGCCAGGGCTGGTGCGTACTACCTCCGAAACACACGATTGGAGTAGGAAAGGTCAAGCTTGATTGGGGCCCCGGGCAATGTTTTTTTTTTTTTTTTTTTACCACAGCAACATTTGTTTTTTTTTCTACCTACATTTATATACCTTACAAATTAAATTCAGCACAATTGACTATGAAAAGATAAAAATTTTTTAGCGGATTTTGACGTAATTCTGGGGTCTTCTTTTGTTGTTCAAACCCGTGAATCTGTTTGGCCCATGTTACGTCCCGAAAAAAAAAACACTATATAAATTTCACTATTTTTTATTCATAATGTTGAATGTGTTAAAATTCTCCAACTTTTTCACAGGAAAATAAATCCGAAGCTGATGCTAAAAATGCCGCGAAACATTGTTCAATTAAGACGGAATTATCCACATGGTACCCCAGTAAAAAAAAGGGTACATTCAGAAAGACGTGAAGCAACTGGTGAAGACTGATGTGACTGAAAAATTCAGGAAGAATTTCTGCACGTTTCACAAATCCCCAGGTGGAATGTCCTTTGAAAAGTACGATAACTTGACGTTCAAAATCAGTGACTTGTTTAGCCATACGGGAAGGACAGAACGAAAGACGAAATTGTCTGCAAATAACCTTCAAATGACGAGTGCAAGATCGAGCAGCAATTAATCAATCATAAAAGAAGCAGAGTTAAGTAATTACGCGAGAGTCGAATGATTATTCAAGGTCATAAATATTCAAGAAATTTATTCAAGTTTGTCCAAGGAAAGATAAAACAGTGATAATAAATTTGCCGCTTTTTTACTGGACATCGAGTATTTCTAATTTGTATTTAGATACATTGTATTATTTTCAATTTTTCTAGTTGAATTGTTCACCATTATTGCATCTGATCCATTATTTTACATAATTAGCTTACAATAAAATTGATATTTTATATGAATACTGCCTTATGAAAATTGAGATGTAGCAGAGTGAGTGGGGCTCCGTATCATAGGTTCTGAGGATGTCATAGGTTCGGTTGATATCATACTTTCGGTAGGAGAAACCCTTGCACCGGTCCTGCTAAGGCAACAAGCGTGGGTCATTCATTGAAGATTTCAACTAGGGAAAAAACTAAACTACAGCAATTTATCTATCTATCTATTCGTATCTATCTATCTATCTATTCGTATATATCTGTTTAGTTAGTTGAGATATCAGTTTGTACCAGTATATAGTTAAGCTAAAGAGTTACTAAAGCAATCTTCGTCCTGATATATATCTACACCACTCGGTGCATATTATTGTTTACTAAGCTTTGGTAAGAACAGCATAAGCCTGCAAGGCTTACGGACATATAGCGTTGAAACACCGGTTCATATACGATCACCGAAGTTAAGCAATGTCGACCCTGGGTGATGGGTGACCGCTTGGGAATACTAGGTGCTGTAAGCTTGGATGTGCGGGTGGTGTAATGGATAATGGCTCGAAATTTTTAATCGGAGAACCGTCTTCTAAATTTAATTGGATTATTTATATTCATTTACGTGCAAATATCTTTGGAAAGGTATGAATCCACCTCTTCTCGCCCCCAGCTATAGGTTAATTAGTAAAATTTCTAACACTAAATCCTTATTATCTCAAAAAAAAAAATTACCATCTAAAAATATTTTCTGGTTTTAAATAAACTGCAAAGGGTGGATAAACCGTAAAAATAAACCAATTACAAGTAGAAGCAAGTTTTGAACTCAGTAAAATATTAATGGTATGTGATACGACCGTGTTAAACACCCGTCATTCTTACTATAAAAAATATTTTCTGTCTTTAAATAACCTAAAAACGAATCAAGCAATGAATCAAATACTGATTAGCTAGACAATAAAGTCTTTTAGATTTATTTACATTCTCTGAAATATAGTTATTTTCCAAGCATAGCTTAGATGTGGCACAAGGCCGAAAGTATGGCGCATCTAGTGAGGATCGAACTCACTTTTCAGTTGTAACTGATGTAGCGAGACTAGCTTGCTAACCATTACACCACGCCGAGGTGCCGACATTTCCTGAAATATATATGTATAGAAATTACCGTACGACAGGGATTAGTTTATGTATTGATTGTACTATATATAGTGGATAGCGACTCAGATTGGGTAGTAAGAGAGTTCGAGTTCGAATTCCAGTTGAATCTATTATTTATTCTCCCTGGATGGCAATTGATCTAGGAGAAGGACAACTGTGAATTCAAAAACCTGGCGAGGGAAGACTGAAACCTCGTAGTGCATCAGGTCTCTGTATTCGGCCCTTCAAAAACCGTGGTTGGTTCTGCACACACAAAGCCTTCACTGTGCTGGTATCTAAGCCGTCGGTTCCTAGGAATTGAGCTGCTTGACCCTCATTCGTCGAATACAAAGGGAAAGTCCTCCATATCCACATAATTTCTTGTTTGTTAGTCAAATTCTGATTAGGTATAATCCTCCTTTTTTACCCGCTTAATTAATTAGTCAGGCTTATATCATTAAAATTATTATTACCCCCCCCCACACACACAAAAAAAAGAAAAAATCTAAAAATATTTTCTGGCTTTAAATAACCTGCAAAGGGTTGATAAGCCATAAAAACGAATCTCTCAAGACTACAAGTGTGGTGCATGCACTGAAGTTTTGAACTCAGTAAAATATTAATGGTATGTGATACGACCTTGTTAAACACCTACTTCAGCGAGGTGTGTCTCACTCACATCCTATCTATGTAGCGAAAATATTTCTAGTAGTTGAGATATCGGTGAGATTACTGTGCAAGTAGATAGTGTTCATGTTCAAGTAATTGATTGATTGATTTTTTTTTTTGCTGCTTATCAGAAAACTTGTGGGTTATTAACATATTTGGAATTGTAAGAATACTTTTTTTGGCGAGAGAAATTTTTTGGGAGATAAGAATTATTTTTCCGGATACAAATCCTCTAGATGCGCGTAGGTGTGAGGAGGAGGTTGACTCATACTTTTCTCAAGAGAATGTAACGAACGCGTCTGCAATTCGAACTTGCCTATCCGATTTCGAGTCGCTATCTATTACACCACCCGCACATTCTCAAGTACGAGTAAAAGCAGCATTTCAAGTGATCGAATGGTACAAGTGCTGGTGTAATTGACAGAAAAATAAAAGGATTAACCAACTTGTTGTTAATACCTTTAAGTTATGTGCGCTAAAATAAACTCTTAAAAGTTGGTAGGCTGAGGAGCTAAATCACATGCTAAAAGCTAAGAGATTACCAAAAATCATCCTTTTATGAAACAGAGGCACATTTTTGGTGACAGCAAGCCATTAATAGAGCGATCAATCCCCAGTGAGGATTAACAAAACAATATTTTGTATTAGATGTAGATTAATTTAAGCATTCGTGGGTTTCAGTCTTTCCTGAGTAGTCACTTCTAAAAATCCTGTCTAGTTATGCATTGTAATTATCCCGCGAGACCAGATAAAATTTCATGTGAAGAGTTTATACTTGGTTCGGGTATTGTTGATTTTAGCATTCTAAACAATTTATGTATACCAAATACAGAATTAAACCTTCTACATTTCTCTAAGTAAATGTCACCCCTCCTTCTGTTTTTGTTTTTCCTCTTACGTTAAAGAATGCAGGAAACAAATGCGTCTCTCTTCTTGTTCTTGTAACGGCATTCACCCGAGGTGGGTTGAGCCGGCTCCAATATTGGAGTTTCATGGAAATTTGGAATTCCCAACCCGCATGTATAGCACATGAGATTTGATTATAGTGGACCATCCACACTTTTTGAAGGGCCGATTACAGAGACCTGGTGCACTACGTGCCACAAGGTTCCCAAACGACCCTCCGCAGGTTTTGAATTTAGAGTTTTCCTTCTCCTAAACTATAGAACCCAGTCTGTCCTGCTATTTACTCATAGCTGGAGGAAGAATAAGAGGATTCACACCTTTCCCAAGGGTATTAGCACGTAAGTGAATGTAATGGATTCGACTGGAATTCGAACTTGGCTCTCCGATTCCTCAATCCAAGCCGCTATCCATTACTCCACCGTGCCTCTGCAAATTTACCTGTTGGTAGGATATTGATCGGTAGAACGCATGCTAAAACGGCACCAATAATTTTGTATTTACAAGTTTATAAAAATATATGAACCAATTACAATGCAATATTTACACTATTATAAAGAATAACTATGAAACATTTATTTTATTCATAAATTTATAAAAATGTCTCTGAACAAGAGAACAAGAAGATGTAACTATACACATAATAACGAGTAACTGTAATTATAAAATCTGGAAAAAAAATGCATTTTCGGGCATTTCTTTCATTTTGCAACATAAATGCACTAAAATAAGCTGTGAGCATTTGAATTTATACTTTTTTTTTCTCGAGAATGGATAACAAAAATGTTAAACACTATTTATTTATTAGACTGTTTATCTACAAGATTAGTGTTTAATTCTTTTGTTGTCAATTCTCGACTAAAAAGATAATGTGTAAATCCAGTTTCATATGCTTGGGTTTTATTAAAATATTAAAAACAGGTTTTTAAAACAATAAAATTACCTAAGGGAGTGCATAGCACTGTCAAGTGAAAACCGCCCTTTTGACAAACTTTTTTTTACGGGGTCGCATGTTAAACTTTGCCCTATTTTAATTGTTCTATTTTAGTTATATTTTTACAATGGCATTAACTCTGTACAAGGCTCAAGAGCCACTGGAGATAGAAGATTACAGAGTAAGAGGTACAGTTCATGGGGATATATAGGGAAGAAAACGGTTACTCCTAGACTCGAACATTTTAAGAGTGTATTGATCAGTTCGTCTTCAGAGGGTTATATAAGGAAGGAAAAACTGGTTACATCTCATCCATGGAATACTAAGTAAATTTTTGCTACCATGTGCCTAACATGGTGGGTCTTGACCTGATTTCTTCCTAGAACAATGGAAATAGCGATAGAGTAGCGAGAGGCTTGCAACGTTTCTTCCTTGAGCAATGGTTGGTAAGTTGGAAAATAATTCATCATCCACAAGGACGCGGAGGCACTTTTGGATTCCATCGAAACTAGAAAGTGAAGACAGGGCAGCTCCTGTCCATATAGACTTGTACTTTCGCGAAATAATTAAGCAAAGATTAAACCAAATGAAAACTATCAACGTCAGATTGTGCTTAGCGAAGTTTGAAGAGTTATATTAAACACTTCTACAAAGTGAAAACTTCTACGAAAATGACCTACGGATGCCTTTCAAGAACAACAACGTCATTGAAAACTGTTAGGAGATGCGCCGGTAAGAATATCAACACGAGCTGTGTTGATATTCTGAATAGGTCAGGCGTAGGTGAACGTCTGTAAGAATTTGTGTGTGGGTGTTCCTTGCAGATACCACGGATGTTTTTGTGGGTTTATTTTAAGCAAAACTTAGCGTATGAATAGTTTTTTTTTTTTTTTGTTTTTGTTTTAATTTGTCGAATCTGAAAAAAATATATTTGGGAAAAAGAAATCAAATCCATTCTGAATTTCTTACGCGAAGCATCGTCATTATGAATTTTTGATAATTTTTTCTTTCTTTTCATTTCTCATACTTTTTAGGGTTTTTTTTTCCCCGATCTATGCTGCTTACTTAACAGCCACCGAATTTAAAAAAACGATCTGAGCAGAGGCAGAGCAAGGTGGGGGTGACAATTGCCCCTGGGTGCAGATGTGTATGTATAGCAAATTTTCTTCTGGCGGGAAAAGTTCATCTGTAGCTTAATGTAGACATGAATACCAGTTTTGTAAAATAATAAGGCTTTTTGAATATAAACCTAAGTAAATCTCTAAAATGTAGTATTTTCTGTCTGGTTCACAAACCATAGTCATTACTACCAATGAGTGGCTTTCCAAGTGAGTACTAGTGTACTCTGACCTAGAGATGTGGCATTGGTTTATTCTATTTGTTATACTAAAAAATAACATTAATGGACGACGCGAAATCAAAAAAAAAAAAATCCTAATTTCAATTCGTTTCAGTTTTAAAATTCTGATATTGGGACTTTATTTTTAGCCTGAGATAAAGTACTCATTAATTCTGTGTTATTGCCATTCAGAGGATAAGCTTAACGGAGTTCAAAAGCGTTTGCGCGGCCTTGTGGATGATGTATTATTTTCCACCACTTTCCCACTGTTGAATCGTTGTTAGACTCTCGCTACTATTGCTAGTTTTTGAAACACCGGTTCCCTTACGATCACGGACGTTAAGCAACGTCGTGACTGGTCAATACCTAGATGGGAATACCAGATGTTGTTGGATTTTATGTGCGAGTGGTGTAATGGATAATGGCTCGAAATTGTTAATCGGAGAGCCGAGTTCCCTCTCCAGTTGGGTTCGTTATATGCGGAAATACCTTTGGAAAAGATATAAATTCACCTCTTCTCCCCAAACTATGGGTTAATTAGTAAGACGT